CCTTAAATTCACAAGGCAGCGGGAACTTGGCTCGTGTACTTTGCCTGTCAGACTCTGCTTCTTCGTCGGGAGTAGCGGCATGAGGCGCACCGCGGACCGTACCTTTTCTTTTTGTCACGACCATCCAGTTTTTAGACGTATCGTAACGACGACATTAATATCGCGTGCAACAGCTCGTGCAGCTTTTAAGGGAGCTCCGAATGCTCGCGGAAAGCAGCGAGCTGATTGCGGGCGTGCACTTTGAAATAGCAGAATGTAAATTAATGCGCCAAACGGATTGCGCTACTCTTTGGTATATTACGTTTACGGAGTTATTAAAACGAGATATTATTTGTTCTCTCATATGTATTGTATACATACCCATGGATACAAATTTGTTGGTAAATATGTTTTAAATAAACATCTATTAGTCACAGTCAATTTGTTCCAATAACATCGAGAGAGGGATTGTGGCTTTATATTTATACGTCGTCAGTAAAACGTATTTATTAATTTTTTACAACTAGAGCAGCTAAATGCATTGTATAAAGGATGTTGGAGTAAAAGCGGTACATTCTGAATTAATAATGTTTTCCTCGATCCAAATCGCTTCACGATTTATCAGATATATGTACCTATGGGACACGCCATATTTCCAATGTTACGCTGCTAATACATTGCTTAACATTGTCGATATCTCTCTGATATCACAAACATTAAATATTCAAAGAAACATGATTTTATTTTCGGTACCACGGACAGTTGCTCTATGGATTTCCCGTCGTCATATTGCGGTTATTCTCATCTCGCGATGAATATTGCATATACATGGATTGAGATATGGTGTGTCTAAGTCAAAAGTTCTAATTTTCCCCGCAGTAGTATTACAAAAACTATAAAAATCAAATCGCGACTTTTGATATTAATATAATATCTGTTTCTTTTTAAGGAGTACATTTTGCTATATGTGTGTATAAGGAATATTGTAAATATAATAACAGCTTATAAAAATTTCGTCGTACTTATAGATTTGAAATGTGTAAGAAAGAACGAAGTGTTAAATATATAATATAAAGACACAAAATTAATATTTAAAAAAGATACGCATATAAAATGATATTATTTTTATCTAAAAATTATTATAAAATACTAAGATTAAAGAAGCAGGAATGTTTATATAAATATATTATAATCAAGAGGGTTATTTTTTTTTTTTATAAAATACATATTTTATATAAATTACAAATTAATCTTATTTGATTAATTAATCTCACAGAATTGTCCCGAATCCCGTAATCAAACGTGATCTTCTTAGAGTTGAAGAGCTTTGCGAGTGAGCCGAAACACTCGTACGAAAAACTTGTGAATACAAACGCGAATCATGAAGCACACCGCGAAGTAACCGACCCTTGAGTTTAGGATCCTATTGACTTACGGTTCGTCTATCCGCCGAATAGAGAAGAGACAGAGCGTGCGCTGGTCTGTTTAATGAACAAGCTTGAGCGGTTTGATTTGCATTGCGCGCAGTCACGCTCCGCTCGCGGTGCGAATTTCAACGTAGCAGTCTCTGCTACTCGGTGGCCACCTGAGTAACGTGAGATACCTGCACGTTGGCACAGCCCGCCCTGAGACGCGCGTAATGCGCCCGGGTAGAGAACGCTTTAAGGGGCATTCCTGTCGCGCCTGCATCGCGCCGTTGCGTTATCGCGATTCAACGTCGAGCACTGCCATCGAATGACAGTTTCCTGTGTCAAAGCATACCCGGTCGCTGTTACACAACGTGATCAACCCCCGTGCGCAACCCGTTGCCGCCTCTCTCTCTCTCCTTCCTCTCCACCCCCCAGCTGCTGCCTTCTTCCATCGAGAGTCGCGCAATTCGAGCGGCAAATGCAATATTGTGGCCTCGCCGCCGAGACACTTGAGACAAAATGGCATGCTTTCGCGCGATTTATCCCTTTTTTCCCCCGTAACTTTCAAAGGCTGCACTTCCCGAAAGCTCTTAGATCCTCTTTTCGCGCATCGTTTTACGTATATTTAATTACGTACATAACTTAAGAGATTCTCCAAATTAAGCAATTAAATGGACACTTTTTAATACACCCGTTTGAGTTTCATCAATTTTCAGTTGCAATGCACGTTTACATATTATTTCCGCGCGCAAGAGCTTATTGTAAACTTCAGTTTAGTAAAAACATAAATGTTTGGTACAAATTTTGGAAAAACATAGCATAACACATAACAGTTGATTCATATGTATATATTTTATTTTTATTTTCATAATATTCAATATAATTTTTCGAGAATTGAAATTGTAATAAAATTTTGGTCTTTGTGTGTGTGTGTCTCTCTCTCTCTCTCTCTCTCTCTCTCTCTCTCTACTGCTTGTATTTATATAAATAAAATAAATAAATAAATGTATGTATATGCATATGTATGTTTATTTATCTATTTACTTTATTTTATATACATATGATACATAAACAATTTCTCTCTTGCCATGTAAAATTGTGTTTTATTTAGTTTGACGAAGCATCGATAGCATCACTTCAGTTTTATTAGTCGGAGCCCCAGCATCGTGTTTCTTTTTCCTACTCTTTGTGTTTGGTACTTATCAAATCACTTTTTCAATCGCACGAGTGCCTCTTCGCATTAGTCGATGGGACAAATGTGAAAACGGGTTGCCGCGTTCGCGGCTCGAACGGCAAACGCGACTCGGTCATGATCAGTAAGTGGAAACGGACGAGCACGCGTCCGGCCTATGAAATTGGAGTCGAACTTGCGAGCGGGCGAATGTTTATTTGAAATAGGATAGCCGGCGAACGATTGCACACTCCTGATTTCGAAACCCGAGGGGACTCGATCATTGAACGAGCCCGGACGAGCGACTAACGAAAAAATTGCGTCCGCTGTTTTGCGGTCCGGCTGTGTATCATTCGGAGACAATTAACAATTGACTTTGTGAGATACGAGAAGAGTCGAAGTGGAGAAGAATGAAATTCTAGTAATGAAAACAATATCCGTTAAAATTAAACGCTAACCAGAATTGAAGTAATTTGTTAAAATTTCTTTCAATAATTACCTTATATAAAAGAATAATCTATTTTCTAAACACTGTTATTGTTTCTGACTCTGTAAATATTAGGTATGTAATTTATACGACTTTTTTCAAAAATATGTTAACACTAAAGATACAAACATTTCAATCAAAATATGTATTTGCTTTTCGAATGTATTACTTTTTGCCATCCTTCGGAGATATTATATAAATATTATATTGTTTTATGTACTACAGTTATCACGGCAAAAGAATACTTTGCAGTGCAATTTATCATATTTAATTTTTTAAATCAATCTTAACACGCTCTTTCCGATACAGTATTGTCTTCGTAAGTTTCACAAATTGTTTCAGTGGTGATTTTACCGCAATAAAAATAGTGAAGGTAATGGCGAATATAAGCACTTTTTTATTTATTTTTAATTAAACTAAAATAAACACGGAGAAAAAAAATTGTTCATTTGACTATATTAATTTAATTCATCTTTCCTATATATTTTTTGTTGGAGAATGTATGTATTTAAATCAAATATAGTACATTTGACTCTTAATACATATATACTTCATAAAAAATACACACACACACACACACACAACACACACACACACACACACACACACACACACACACACACACATATATGTATATATAAAATATATATATAATCTAAATTAATTTTATCAAATAAACAATTTTTTCTCAGTGTAGTTAAATGTTTAACTGCGGATTGTTATGTAACTTTCGAAACTAAATTGATCAACCTTACTAATGGAAAAGTTGGGCACGAAAATTTAAATACACTGTTGTTATAGCACTATCTGAAATTGCAATAAAAACAAATTGACAGACTCCAAAAAATAAATCAAATATTATATCTATGAGAGCCAAACACAAGATATTCACGTGTAAAGAATTTATTCGATTAGTATATAATGTGATAAAATAGACATTTCGATCTTATTGTGGATCCTTTTCAATACCTTAATAACATTTAATATAATAAAATTAAACATTGATAAATTATACAATTACAATTACTCTTAAAGCTCAGTTTGTAATTGTATGATTTATTACTGTTTAAATTTATTATATTGAAAATTATTAAGATTTTGAAAAGGATCCGCAATAGGATCGAAACGTGTATTATCACATTATATACTACTTGAATAAATTCTTTACTCGTGAACACTCTGGCTCTCATAGGCATAATACTTGATTAATTTATTTAAAATTAATCATGGGAACTTACTTATACACCTAATAATTCAAAAATTTTCCATCTGGCCGAATAAATTCGTCTGATCGGTGAGAGATCGAATTGTTTATTATGTTTTTTCCTCTTGTAAAAATCATGAAACTCGTATGATTCACGGTATTAAAAATGGTACATGTTAAGAAGAAAAATGAGAATTGTGACGCGTCTATGCAGCAAAGCGCTATCCGATCTACAACCTCTTATCTTGCAACCTTACCCTTATCTCTTACGGCCACTGCTTCACCTTTGAAATGTTACCCGCCGCTACGTACGACCTTCTCAGAATTTATATTAAACAAACGACTCCCATTATTGGTTTATTCGTGTGTTGTCAGGCAAGGTAGGATCAATTCAGTGAATCTCGCTCAAGAGCGCGCGAGTCTCTTTTCACGGCTCTAAGCTAACGTAACTCGCTTACATGCAATATCAACCTGAGACTGAATACCTTCTTGTTTTCGAAAAAAATCAAATCTAACGTTTGATGGCTGAAAAGGATCGAATGGTTGTCGGAAAATACGCCTGAATTTGAGATCAAAGAATCAAATACCTCTCTGTCGTCTAACTAATGTCCAATGCACTATATTCTAATGCATCATAATTACAATTACATCGAGTATATTTTTAGAAATTGACTAAAATGTTGTAATTTTAATTTTGACAATAATGACAATAGCTCTCGTATATAATAATCGATTTCTTTCTGTGTACAGCGTGTTCTTCGACCGAGTTCATATGCAGAAACGGTCAATGTATCGACAGTAACAGATACTGCGATGGCGTGCAAGATTGCCACGATGGATCCGATGAACACAATTGCCGTAAGTATCGTTTCCACATCTGAAAGATGATCGCCTACACTCATCACAGTTATTTGCATGCGCATGTAGTTTGGACTTGTAACGGTGGTATCGCGCATTGCTGCGCTGCGATTGTAGCCGCTTCAGAATTCGTCTTTTTTAATAATCTTTTAATAAGACTATATATGGCACACAAAAAAACGTAAGCAGTAAGACATAAGCAATATATATGTGTATAAGCAAAAAACTTTTGGCTTACATCATTATTTTTACATTTTTATTGTGATTGACCGATTCGCTTACGCCTTACATTTTACATTTTTTTGTACCATAGCCTTTAAGTACTGGTAACTATGTTAGTTCGAAGTAATATTGCACTTTTGCGCGTGCTTACAAACAACATCCACAACTGAAGGGCTTACTACAACAGTGGGCTAATCCACATTTTATACAAACAGAGAAAATTAACTCTAAAATTAAAGATTAGGAAATAATCCATACAATAAGATCTTCAGGGGATGTCTTCTGAACATCTTAAGGATGATTCCCAGGATATTTCTCGGATAAAGTGTGCTGTATGGAAATGGATTACCTCACAAAATGTAGATTATTTCACTAGTAATAAGCCCTTTCATTTTCAAATAATTAAACCTTCTTATATAAATCGCGCAAATTATCGTTAATAATTCAGAACACCATTTTTAAGCATTTTTAAGATACAGATCTATTATTTTTATATTTCAAGCTCATATCGTATTTTTATTTTAAAAGAAAATAGAATTCGATTAACATGAATGAGCTTTTTACAATAAGCCATTACCTAAGCTTAAATCTAGTAAAAAACTAATCTAGTCGATTTTTCTTCTCACATTCGACTGTGACTGGTCAATTTTTTACGGCTTGAAACTTAAAACTTATGTAAGCCAGGCTCTACAATAAGTGCTTTAAGCCTTAAACCTTAAGAAATTGATCAATTACAGTCGAATGCGAGGAGAATAATTGACTATGATTCGTCCATTTCTTATGGCTTAAGGCTTAAAAACCTATTGTATATCCGGGTTAACGGCTTATTGTAAAAAAAAAAAAATCAGAAGGCGCTTCTTATAACGCTAATATGGTATTTCACGCTAATTGCGTGAGCGGAAATAAGTTTTGTAACAAGATCGTTCTCGCACGTACGAATCTATAAGACCTGTGCGTGCTGATAAAGGTATCTTCACGCGGAATCATAAACTGATACTGGCGACGCCCTTGCACGTACCGACATTATTTATCGCTAGCGAACGCCGCACGACAGATTTGCATGCGACTGCGCCAGAACTAATGGTCGCGGGCTGGTCCCGACGTATTACGATGAGCTCAATAATTATAATAACTGTGACAATAACAATAGCGTGCTCGGGGAAAGAAAAAAAAAGAATATGGGAGTCATAGTGGGCGGCAGTGGTTGACGATGGCGTTCTTCGGCCTCGTGTTTAAGGCCGTTGCACCCGTATACTGCATCGACATCCGTTTTCTCTCTTCGTTCAACCCTGTCTGCCAACCTCCTCCCCTTCTCTCGCTACCCTTTTCAACCTCAGCTTATTATTTCCGTCGTCTTTTGCGGAGGCATGTTTCGTGGCCGGTTCGTCAGTGTACGACCGCATGCACATCGCTAACTTATTCTCAGTCGTTAAAAGGCATAATTTAAAAAAAATCGAAAACATTTTACGATCGGTAGGTCGTGATTCCAGCGGAAATGCTTGTTTGGTATACACAGAAAAATACATACTGTATGCAGATAGTAATCATTTGTTTTAAGTATTTCATAGATTCATATAACCTTAAATATATCATAAGTTTATCTTAAACGTTCAAGTGATTCAAAATATATTCTGTGAATCCTAGTAAATTTAATACTTTGACAAAAGAGAGACAGAGAAAGAGAGAGAGAGAGAGAGAGAGAGAGAGAGAGAGAGATTATAAATTAAATTAAATTAAATCAATTTACTTATTATATAAATAATTTTCTACGAAATTTTATAATATTCTTAATAAAAAAAAGTAATTTCTTATTTTAAATATATATATAGTAAGAGTTTCACTTTCTCTTCTCTCTTTAAAATTTGTAATAAATACATTTTAAGACTATTATGAAGAAAATATTTTTTGATAATAATCGATACTTTAAAAGAAAAAAAAATTAACTGAGTAATCACTCAGTTTCTCATTTCTTAATAACAATAGAATAATATTTTTCTGTGTGTAGAAGTACAATGCCAAAAATTAAATCAGCATGACATAGTTATTATGTGCTTTTAATTTTTATTAAGTATATAAATCATCTTGAAGGTTGATTAAAGAAACGGTTAAAGGAAGCATCGTAATATACAGTTTTTATGTCGTAATGTAAGAAATATTGCAGCTATCCAGTTCGAATTATTTCATAGTTCATACATAAATACGCTGCAAATTGCGATTTTATGCGGCAATAATCCATTAACGGAAATAACTATAATGAGAAACAACGCGTTTGGTGACGCATGTTATGTTTATGTGATTTTACGACGCTTACGCGACCATTTGTAAATGCTAACATCATGATAGTGATAATTGTGACGCACGAATGTATCAATGGAGAATTGACTACCGATTTCTTATTCATCTTCTCGCATAACTTTACTGCACATCTCATCAGCGGCATGAATGTCGTTAGCGTAGAAGCGCGGAAGACGATTAAAAGGAGAGAAAAAAAAGATCAGGCACGGAACACCCCTCGTCCCCCGGCAAATCTGGGATGGCCCCCTGTCGAACGAGATTTACTCGCGTTTATTAATCCGCCCTAATAACCGGCCGCAATTTTAATCCGACGTTAATCTCCCATGGGCCATCAGCCGAACATCGCGCCAGGCCCTTCCATCATGGCTCTGTCCCGGAATTTCGCATTTTCACTGCTTTAATCCAATTTTGATTCGTGACAAGAGCGTCGCACGTCCGCCGAACTTCTCCGCCGCTCTGCGAAAATCGGTCATGCCGCGGAATCGTGTCAAGCTATATGGCAAGAGTCATCATCCCCTGTAAATCCACGGCACGAGATTATGTTTGTTTCTCGCTGTTCGTCGACGACTTTACGTTACGCCAGTGAGTGATATTTTCGCGATGGCTTATTTTGACGAATCCGAAAGTTTTAATGGCCTCAACAAAATTTATTAGAAGACATCACTGGCTGCGTTCAACAGAAAAAGCAATTGCAACTGCTAAGATTCTTTAATATTCTCTATATTCTAAATATATTAAGAAATAAAATGGGTTAATAGGAATTAACGCTTTAAGTCTTGTGCAATTAATTAATTATAAAAAGATTTTATCCGAATAAAAAATATACCTATTAAAAATACGATACAAAGATAACACTCTTTAAATTCTTTGGAATGAAATCTCACTCTAAAGAGTGAAAATTGAACCAGTCTTGAAAAGAAGTGATTTAATTTTCAATCTTTAAGAGTGAGATTTTACTCTTCAGAATGAGCTTCCACTCTAAAAGTTTTAGAGAGTTTCGGCTAACCTTCTAGTCATCTTTAACAAATGCTAATACAAAGAAGATAAAATACAAATAACATACAAATAAAATACAAATACAAATATGCTTAAGATCTATTACTATATATCTTTAGCAATGGTGCTCATGAGACGGTCAATCATTTCTTCATTACAGAATAATTTTAAATCAGTTGAAAGATTTTACGATAGAAGATGATGCGAAATGATCGCTTAATCTTATTAGAACATAAACGATCATACTTTCAAAGCGCAATTTAAGGCCAAATTATATATAATAGCAATAATAATAATAATATACAAACCGCAAGTCCAGTAATAAAACAAAAATTGTAGCCAAAGTGTAACACAAGTGATCATACATCAAGTAAGATTGAAAAATAATAATGTAACGAAATATAATATATAGAAGTGAACATGTCGACATGGACACTTGCTATGTCGAAGTTTAAACTTAAATTCTTTAATATGATTGTTTCTTAGCTCCTCCATTAGATTTAAACATATAAATCAATGATATTAAAGAATCTTATATTAATAGTTGGGAAACTGCATCTTCTGTTAAACGCAGCTGTTGTCGCACATATTTACCGCCACGCAAAGAAAATACACTATATCATATCTCGAATAATTCAAGATTATTTTGATTTTACGGTTTATCTGATTCAGCAATTAAATCGTTAATTTCTCGAGCGTGTACGAGGGATCATTTCTAAACTACTCTGAAGTGCGAACGAATCGCCTCGAGCATC